CAAACACATTTTGGGTTTTGTTAAAACAAACCAAAGTTCTTCAAAGGTTCATTTCAAATAACTCAGTGGTGAGTAGTTTTCATAGATAAAACATTATACAATGAGACATCCAGATCAAAGTTAAAACATAACAAAATATGAAACTGTTGACTTACTTATCCTAATAAGTATAGAAGTTGGGAACTTTTCTTATTTTAGTGAACCCTCTTTAAATTAATTAAAGGTAGAGTTGTCAAATTAAGAACAAAACTCCACACCTTTCGACCTCTTCTCGATTCGTCATAAAATATCAATTGACGCAGAAAAAAGGGAGACGGATATCGATATTTGACGTGGTGCGAAGTTCAAGCCGTTGAGAAGACATTTCAGGAATGAATCTAGTGGAGTGGAGCGAACAAAAAACAAAAAAAATGGAACAATCCTAACAAATTATTTGTGACCAGTTTCTTAAAGTTATTTCGCTGAGAGCCAGAAATAAACCTAGCTCAATAACTGTCATATTCAGCTGGTCCTAAACTAGATTCTTCAATAGAATGAAGTTTCATTGGAAATTATTTGGAGACGAGGATCGCTTCCAAAATACCATTTATCTTTGGAGAAAAAACAAGATTTCGTTAGGTCAGGTTGGCTCACCGAATGACATATAAACACTTGCAAGATAATTCGATTGGCAACATTAACTTGCGCAATCACTGAAATTTTCGTAATGATCTGCGCAATGTAAACAAACTGGCGTCATATTTGTTATCAGCACGGTGATTTGAGCGTGCCAAATTATTATAAAAGTGTAAGAATTTAGTGAAAAGATGGACCGTAAGAGCAGTTTAAGTGATGCTGAAAAGAAAACTATCACCTCAGAACTCTCAAAAGGTAAATCTACACTAGAAATTTCTAAAATGATAGGGAGGTGTCATCAAACAGTGAAAAAGTTCACCGTCGACCCTACACAAGAACGCAAGTATCGAATTTCTGTCCGATAGAAAAACAATCACGATGAAGATTAACAAAGTAAAAACGTATACAATATTCCGGTTTTAACTAGATACAGAAGCGTAGGCATATGACCGGTTTACGATACAAGCAAATAGTAATGTATACTTCTCAAAAAGTGCAGTTATTGGGACAGTTTACATTAGACTTAGAAAGGTAGATATAGGCACAGTTTATAATAAAATCAGAAAGCGATATATAAATTTGTTTTACACCAATCATAAAAGTAGACATAGGCCCAGTTTACACTAGAACCTAAAAGGCAGACTTAGGACCGATTCATACTAGAGTCAAAACGTAAGCTATAGGCTCGATTTAGACGAGGCAGAAAGGGAGACGTAAGTCCACTCTACCCTAGAGTCATAAAAGATTGTTATTATCTAGTTTTAACTAAAATAAGAAAGCTATGCAGTGATTCGCTTTACATGAGGTCAAAAAGGTAGACATGAGTGCGGTTTACAATATATTGGAAAGTAATTTAAATGTTCAATATACATCAGTTAGAAAGGTAGGCATAGGTTCACATTACACTAGAGTCAGAAAGGCAAATATGGGTCAGTCTTAGACTTGAAGTAGTAAGGTAGATATAGGTACACTTTACAATAGATGCAGAATGTCAGACATAGGACAATTTTACACTATAGTTAGAAAAGTAGAAATAAGTCCACTTTACACTATAGTCAGAAAGTCAGACATAAATCAATTTTACACTGGAGTTAGAAAGGGACGAATAGGTCCACTTTACACTAAAATCACTAATTCAGACATAGGTCAATTTTACACCGGAGTTAGAAAAGTAGACATAGTTCCACTTTGCACCAGAGTCAGAAAGGAAGACATAGGTCAACTATACCCTAGAGTCAGAATGTCATACATAGGTCAACTATACCCTAGAGTCAGAATGTCATACATAGGTCCACTTTACACCAGAGTCAGAATGTCAAACATAGGTCCATTTTACACTAGAGTCAGAAATACAGAAAGTATAATTAATGTTTTGTCAGCATTGAAGCGATATAAATGACAGATTGTATCTGTGGCTCTAAAGAGAATAAATGTGCCAGAGAAGGTGTCTGCAAGAAGGATTAGCAACACTAACAGGTGGGTGATCTAGAAAACGAGTAGTCAGTGATTACTTCAATGTTTACAGACCTTATCAGAGATAATATTATGTTTTTAAAGCATGTCTTCGTCTCTTCTGTTGCCTTTTTTTTCGCAGCATTTTTAATTAATTTTATTTTAAAACTTAAACAATTCAAAATGCATGCTAACCAAAAGAATGATTAGAAACACTATGACGATGACCAATAAAAGTAAAAGAAATTATGAGTTATTATTACATTACTTACATGAAAGATTTACCTCATCCAACATTTCCGGCTGTTGCGTTCTCGGGTCTTTCATCAGGTGCTTGTCAAACTCAGCCTTTATTTAATATATTCGGGTAGATTGTTCTCATTCCGGGTATATTTCGTTTTGTTCTTATTTAGTTTTGCTCAGTTACTGTTCGTCCCATCATCATTGAATCCAAGTCAGCGCAGCCAATTTGCTGTCGTTACTGACATGTCTAAGATTGATTTATAGTAGCCTTCAGCACTACAGGATTTTGTTAAAGAAGATGTCTTTTTATTTAGTCTGTTCATATTTTTCTCTATCTCTCTCTCTCTCTCTCTCTATGTATATATATATATATATATATATGTGTGTGTGTGTGTGTGTGTGTGTGTGTGTGTGTGTGTGTGTGTGTGTGTGTGAGGTGTGTGTGTGTTTTCTGTGTGTGTGTGTGTGTTTTCTGTGTGTGTGTGTGTTTAAATAATCTAGACGTATTATGTCTATTTATTTTAGATTTAATCCTTTCAAAATGACGAATTAATTTCTTGGTGGCTGTAAAAAATTGATTAAGGAAAATTTAAAAAGTTTCTTTCAAATAATTATTATTTTCCAAAGTACTTAAGACATTAACACGTGGACTTGAAAGGATTAAAACTAAAATAATAGACATAATACGTCTAAATTATTTAATCAAACATGCTTGAATAAAAATATGCTGCCTAACTATATATATATATATATATGTGTGTGTGTGTGTGTGTGTGTGTATGTGTGTGTGTGTGCGTATGCGTGTGTGTGTTTGTGTGCATGTAAAAGTTAAGATATAACTAAAATATATTTTTTAAAGGAAAACACCTATATATAATAATTCGCTCACCAAAACAACCGTTAGAATAATACAATACAGTTTCTATTTTTGAAACATGGTAATTCCTGTGTAGCGATGGAATCATATTTTTAAATAATTTATATTTATATATATATATATATATATATATATATATATACACATACAGTAGAACATCAGTTCACGAATTTAATTCGTTCTTGAAGTCCATTCGTAACCCGAAATATACGTAAACCGAAACTATTTTTCCAATAGAAATCAATATAAAATAGATTAATCCGTTCCTGGTCCCAACATCATTGCTTATTTAAACTGTTACAACAGTAATTTATGCACAAGTTTATACATAAAACTAATGAAAATCATTAAGTCTAAGAAAAAATAAATAAACCCAATACTAAACAGATAACTTATAGACAAAGATTTTAATGTTACCATACATGTATGTAGGAGAGTTGATGACGTAAGTGGAAGGGGAAGGAAAAACATGTTATTGTTTGGAAAAGAGGAAGGAGGGACATGATCGTCTCTTTATTTATAAGAATAGTATAGATCGTTGATATGATTGCCGTATGAATCTGAGTAAGAAGAGACAATATCATCATAGAGACAATATCATCAACAATTGTTTTTCTCTTAACTTTTCTTTTTTCTTTACCAGTATCACTGCTAGATTTCTGTGGATCTATGTCTAACCAGGGCGAATAAAGAGAAGAAAAAAAGGCGCGTTACAATAAAATTGGAAAAGAAAAGCACAACACAACACAAACACACGAATGTATACAACATGGCGGTCGACTTAGAAATGATTCCATTTGGGTTAACTCGGATGAGCTCGGTTCGAGTACCGAAAATTTTGTTCAATAACCGAGATATTTTCATCTCGAATTTTCTGTTCAAAACCGATTTGTTCGACATGTGAGACGTTGAAAAACCGAGGTTACTATATATATATATATATATATATATATATATATATATATATATATATATATATATATATATATATATATATTATAAATTAATTGATTTAATATTAATGCTCTGTAAATTTACATTGAGCACTATATTTTGTAAAAATAAAACTATCTATAAGAACACCGAATTATATATCTTACTGTTCTTTCTTTTTATATATATATATATATATATATATATATATATATATATATATATATATATATGATAAAATATAGATTCAAGGCATATGTATTGGTTAAAGTACTCAATAATATTGAGGAATGATAAAGTGTATGTAAATATAAAAGTAGACATTGGGGTCAACACCCAGCTGCGACGCAATTGTCAGGCCATGTTTAGTGTTTTGGATCGACTAGCTATATATATATTGGTCAGTTACCGTTACCGAACAACTAAAGAACCGTTAGAATAATAAAATACACCTACCCATAATGCACCACTGACCAGTTTATATGAATAGTCTTTTAATCTTCTTCGTCGTATTCCCTCGTCTGCTGTTCACAAGATGTATTACTTAGGAGTAACGTCAATTTTGTAATACATGCTTCTCTTGTGAGTGCTATTCAAATTGTCTTATATACATAAATGACAATGACACATGCCCAACTCCGTGCAGTCTTATCTCTCATTATCAGTAATCTATTATTAATTGCTTTTTTATTATGACACCTATAACACCTGATTTTTAGTTAATATTATCTGTGTTGAAATTGATTAAGGGGACTGTGCCATTGCGTTGCCATAGTGTCTATCTAAAGAAAGGCTGAATATCTTGAACTTGGCCGCCGGAAATGTTTTATTTTCACAATTAGTTTAGCAAAAAGAGAGATGATATTAAATTCCCTTTAAGCTTCGTCATTCAAAACTGATATCCAGCAACTTCCTGTTCTTATCTTTCTTTTACGCGTTCACGCGTTCTCTCTCTCTCTCTCTCTCTCTCTCTCTCTCTCTCTCTCTCTCTCTCTATTCTCATCTTTATCTTTTTCTATATCTTGTTTCTCTTTACCTCTTACTTTCTCGTTCGTTTTTAGTTTCCCTCTTTATCTATTTCGTACTGCGGTTGGATTCTACGACTTGGTGTAACGGTTAACAATCTTGTCTCAAGGTCAATTACAACTGAGTAATGAGTTCGATCCTTACTTGATTCTCCATACTTTCGCATTGTGTTTCTTCTCCTGCCCCGTAATCCATCTATCAATCTCATAGTCTCTCTTTTTCTAATTTAACTCTTTTCTCTCTCTTTCTCTGTATTTCTCTCTTTCTCCCTTCTCTTTCTTCATCTCTGTATCTGTCTCGCTTACTCCTCAAAACTATCTCTAAAGAGTGAACCAATAAGTCTGTAGCCTCCCACGTCGAATTTTAATCTGAAATGTTTATTGGAGAAATACCATCATATTTACCATTGAATTAAATTTTAAAAGAAAGGCAGTTATTTAAAAAAAAAAAATTAAAATTTAAAAAAAAAGGGAAATTATTTATCATGTAAAGTCAATGTTTGCTTTTTACCTTTTTTTAATCATTTTACACCAAGCAAAGCGAGAATGCCACTAACACGCAGAGGATTAAAAAGAGTGAAATTAAGAGAAAAGTTTGAGTATAGAGTGGGGTCGAGGAAAGGAAACTTAAAAAGGATTCAAGTAGATAGAAGATGGCGATTGAGGTTGCATTTAAAATTTTGAAGATTGAAGTTTTCAAGGAAGCAAGTAAACTGTTCCACAGGTGGGAAGTGCGAGAAAAGAAACTGTTGGAGTAGAAGTGACGGTTACATTTAACAATTTCAACAGTAAAATGTTATGGCCTAGATACCAATCCAGTAGCACGATAAATTCCTGCAAACGGTGCACCAGGTATAAAAGCTCGTCAGAGCAGTAGCCGTGAAAATGTTTGTAGAAAAGACAGAGGGAAGCCAGGTCACATCGGTGAGAATGTGAATGAGGTCGAGATGCCAGGTGAGGATTGATTATATTGCAGATCCTTCTTTGTATTTTGTCAAGAACCTCGAAATGAATAACAGGAGCACCAAACCAAATATGGCGACAGTATTCAATGCACGGTCGAATAATATATTTGTAAATGTGCAAGATGGACTCTGACGGGAAAAAATCTTCTGGCACGACACAGTGACAAAACTTTCCTTGCAATAGATGCTCCTATGTAATCGTTTTGCTTCAAATTAGTTGAAAACGTGACGCCAAAGAAAGCACAGCGTGTTGGTTTCCAGGAGTCTCGCATCAGCCATGCTGATGGCGAACAGGAAGAAATTCTCCATGATAGTTTCGATTTGAAGGCATTAGAATTTACAAGCCATCTCCTACCCCAAGCGGTTTCTTTTAAGAATGCGTTTTTCTATATTTAAGGAAATATATATATGTATATATATATATATATATATATAGATAGATAGATATATAGATAGATAGATAGATAGATAGATATTACCAACACGGGATCTGAAATGTCTAAAGAAATAATGTTGTCTATAAATTCTCATGCCCGCTGAGAGATTGCATCTCCAACATTAATATCATAATATTACCGCCTCCTTCTTGCCTTCTGCATCTGAATTTGATAAAATCAATCCTTTGAACAATTTATCAGATCTATCAAATGTCACTCGAGATTCACCCGTGAAAATTTCTTAGAAAAGTCAATTTTCATGTATTTCTTGGTCCAATATTGACACTTTGAAATATTTGCTTGATTTGCTGAGATGAGAGTTTTTGAGAATTGGAATATTCGCAAAATACTCTACGCCTTTAGTTCCTCTTGATTTCCTCAATTCCAGCCTTTTTCAAAGATTTGAACGCCGTTCAAAAATGGCCGTTTCGCTATAACCCGCTTTAGTTTACGTTCATCTCGAGGAAGCAACTTCTAAAAGCCTATTCCTTTGCTTCGACTTCTCAACTTACTTATATTTTCAATAGCCTTCTTTATCGTTCGATGAACTTTGCAAAGCTCCTTTGATATCTCTAATATGGACATTCCCTCACTCAATAACTTTGTCATTTTCTGTTTTTTTTCAGCAGTTGTTAAATTCTTCCCTTTACTCCTGTTCAACATATATTATAAACAAAAAGAAAGAAAAATTTATTAGATTTCAGAGCTCCTAGGCTGATATTAGTTTAATCTACATACTAACTTCAGTCATTCTATTTTCGTAAATTCGAAATATCACAAAAACTATACTTAAATAATGGTAGAAAAGTCACATGGATACGTGGCACATTGAATAAAGGCGTTGGTTAGATCCAAAAGAATGTGAGTTCAATACCCGGTTAAGGCAGTGGAGAATTTAGAGAGGAGATAACTGATAACAGACATCCATTAAACATGGCACGTGGAACTAGAACAGTCTACCCCAGTGAGCGAAATAAAGGGTTCAGTTCGACATTCCAACCACCTGAAGAAGGCCGGAGCGTACAAAGGCCGAAACGCTGTAAGAAATATGGCAGCAAAGATGATGACAATAATCCGAATAATGTAAATAGTGTATATAAAGGGTTCAGTTCGACATTCCAACCACCTGAAGAAGGCCGAAACGTTGTAATAAATATGGCGACAAAGATTAAAGGGGAATTAACAGGAGATAACTGATAACTGACGTCCATTAAGCATGGCACGTGGAACTAGAACAGTCGAACTCAGTGAGCGAATTAAAGGTTTCAATTCGACATTCCAACCATCTGAATAAGGCCGGAGCGTACAACGGCTGAAACGTTGTAATAAATATGGCGACAAAGATGAGAACAATAGTCCGAATAATGTAAATAGTGTATATAATACCTCATCTCAGAAATATAGACAGGTAGAAAATTTACTTAAATTCACTTACATTAGTGTGGAAATGGACGAGTTTAAATATGACAAACATTGGTTCAGAACTTTTTCAGTTATTAAGTTGTATTTGATTTGCCTAATAACTCAAATAGGCTATACATATATAGATAGATAGATAGATAGATAGATAGATATGTGTGTGTGTATCAAACATTCCACACCGGGCAAGTCGAAATTGCCAGAGGTTAATGTACTGGGATTGAATGAGAATGCGAAAATTTTAGTAAGGAGAAAGGACAATACACTAACAGGTTTCAGGAAGAAAAAATATGGCGATTGCTGTTGCATTTAAACATTTGAAGATTATAGGTGTCAGGAAAGCAAAAAACTGGAAGAAACTTCCACGGGCGATAAGTGCGAGAAAAGAAACTATTAGAATAAAACTTATGGTTACATCTACCAACAGTAAAGCGATGAGACCTACTCGCCAATCTAGTATCATGCAGTCATGGCAGCAAGAAGGAAATTTCATCAATTGCCATGAAAATATCTATAGTAAAGGCAGAGAGAAGCCACGTCACGGCGAAGAGAAAGTGGCTGAAGTCAAGATGCCATGTCAGGACAGATAACATCACAGACCCTCAAGAATCACGTGATACATAAGAGGAGCTCCAGACCAGATGTGGAAGCAATATTAAAAGCACGGACTGATGGTAGATTTATAAATGTGCAAGATGGATTCTGGTATCGCCTCCTCGGGCCGATATTATCAAGAAGAAATCAACTGTGATGAGATTCGAACTCGGGGTTCATGACCAAAAAGAAAACGTATTAACCACACAGTCACGTGTCCAGCGTTTTTGTATCTATCTACAAATCTGTGTGAACCTGTTTGTTCATATGTCTATAGATCTGTAAATGTTTGTGTTTTTATACCAACGATGTCAAAACTGTAGAAATGAGACCTGGGAACGTGACTGAAGTCGAGATGCTAGGTCACGACCGATAATATTGTAGAAGCTTTATATATATATATATATATATATATATATATATATATATATATATATATATTCATTTTTCGTTTCATTTTTGGAAGTGCTATCTGATGATCCGGAGTTCTTTTAAAAGGGCTCTGGTGAAATAAATTATTATAATGGAACCATAAAGTGGTATGTTTTTCTTTAAAATATTAGCTCTGGATTTACATTGAGTTGTCAGGATTTCATTCTCGTTGGGATTACCCATACGGATTACCAAGTTTTTCATAACTATATATATATATATATATATATATATATATATATATATATATATATATATAACTATTAGAATAGAACTGATAGTTGCATCTGGATATTTCAACAGTAAAACGATGCCACCTAAGTGCCAATTGAGTACTGCGCTGAAATTCATGCAGTCTAGGCACCAAGGAGGAAAACGCATCAGAAAAATTGCCATGAAAATATTTGTAGAAAAGACAAAGTGAGGCCACGTGAGTGTGATGGGAAAGTGACTGAAGCCGAGATGCCAGGTCATGATCAATTACATAACAGACCCTTCTTTGGATTTTGTCAAGAATCTCGTGAGGATCTCCGGACTAGATGTGGCAGCAATATTTAATAAACGGACGAATTGTAGATTTATAAATGTACAAGATGAATTCTGTCGAGAAAAAGTATCTATCATAACACAATGAACCGACATTCTTATCAGAAAATTGATTTCATATATTTACTCCGTTTCATGTCGGTGGAAAGCATGAGAGCAAATAGCAAGTTTTATTAAATAGCAACAACCTTGACAAATTTCATCATCCAGTCTTCTGTAATTTCCAGGTATCTTTGAAGACGGATTGTTGCAGTTTTTTGAGACAGTTCTATTTGAATTAATCTTCTGCCTCTTTTAGACCAGGGAACATACAGACATCGAGAAGATGCATCAGCCTTGGGATGATGCATGCGGTAGCAAATGATAAGCTTCCTCGTTTTGACATCCATTTGCTTAATGTCAGCGATGATCCAATTAAGGCTGTTAAAACTATATTACACCACAGGGACAGCCAAAGTGTTTACGGCTCATATTCTGTTTTGTGAATTCAAATCGGTATTTAACATCAGAGACGCATATGCCTGTAATATTCTTTTCTTACTTTCTCCTTTATTTGGGTATGCAGTATTCCATCTCCTTCGCTGACTCCTACGTATTTATAGGCTT